CTTCCAAAACCTTCACCACCGACGCGAAGACGCCGTCATCGTCGTCGGCGTGATCGGCATCGGCGCCGTCACTGCCCGTGCCGTCGTCGTTGTCAGCATCGTCACCAGCATCGCGACTAGCGTCATCACCATCGTGTCTACAAGTGTCGACGTTGCCATGATACCGCACCCGCCCAAGCCGCCGACTCGCACTCAAGTGCACGCTGGGATGTGCCGAGCGGTCAACAAAACTGCGGCCGCCTCGTTCGCGCCAAACTACCTGGCCACTGCGCGCGCGCATGCGCGGGCTGGCGCGGCCGCAGATATGCACGAGCCAGCGCCAAGCACTCATCGCAATCGCCGCCGCATGAGGTTTGCACACCAAGTTGCGGGTGGGTGGGTGGGATATATGCGCGAGCAGTGGAGTGGACAACTCACTGCGAGCAGAAATTAATTGCACAACATAGATTGCACACTATAGATTGCACAACATAGATTGCAACAACTAGATTGCACCACAGAGCTTGGTCCAAATAGATGTCACCACATATACTGCCAGAAACAAGCTGTTTTGAGTCCACGCTGGCTACAACTCACTATAAAAGCGCCACAATGGGCGGTGGGGAAAGGGCGACTAGCATTTTCTGAGAACCCCCCGCGAGGACCAAAGAGACCTGCAAGAGGCCACCAAGAGGCCCCAAAGAGGCTCCCCAGAAACCTCCCCAGAGACTCCGACCCGGGCAAGGTGGCGGGATGGGCCAAAGGCCACTAGATCCGCCGCCCCTGTCGATTCATCGCAGGGGTGCCTGGCGTGCTAGATCCTTTCGGTGTTGGTTTTGGTTCTTTTTCAAAAAGAATTCCCCCTAGGGCTTCGGCCCGTCCCGCCGGCCACCCGAAAGGATGCCAAAAATTTGCCACGACCTGGCTCCAAAGGGGTTTTACTGTCCAGACGGCTCCAAGGCGGCCGAAGATGGCCTCCAAGATGCACCCAAGACGGCCAAGATGGCCTCCAAGACGGCCAAGATGGCCCCAAGATACCTCCAAGACGGCCCAAGATGTACCCAAAATGGCATAAGATAGCCTCAAGATGGCCCAAGACGGCCCAAGAGGTCTCCAAGAGATCCTCCAGGAGGGCCCGAAGAGGCCAGAATCATTGATTTGCCTTAAGTGTTTGAAGGATTTTGGCATTTGCCTCTTCTGGGCAATCCGACGGCTCAAGACGGCCCAAGAGGCCACCAAGATCGTCCCAAGATCGCCCACGAGGCTTCCAAGAGGGCCCCATGACGGCCCAAGAGGCCTCCAAGACGGCCCCAAGAGGGCCCAAAGACGGCCCAAGAGACCTCCAAGACGCCCAAGATGGCCTCCAAGACGGCCCCCAAGACGGCTCCCGACGGCGTCAGACGTGCCAGGAACCCACCAAGATGGCCGAAGTTGGCTCGAAGCTGGCCCAAGACGGCCCAAGAGGCCCAAGACGGCCAAAGGTGGCCCTGAGATGGCCCTGAGATGGCCCAAGACGGCCCAAGAGGCCTCAGAGGGCCTCCAGCAAGGCCCAAAAATACCAAAACCATTGATTTCCAATGAGTTTTTGAAGGATTGTGGCATTTGCTTTTTTTTGTTCGGCCTTCCGACGGCCCGAGATGACCCAAGTGCCCCCAAAGATCGCCCAAGAGGCCCAAGACGGCCCCAAGAGGCCCCCAAGACGGCCAAGAGGCCTCCAAGACGATCAAGATGGCCTCCAAGACGGCCCAAGAGCCCTCCAAGACGTCCTCCAAGAAGGCCCGAAAGGGTCAAAATGGCCTCCAGACGGCCAAGATGACCTTCAAGATGCCCACGTGTTCCCCGAAGGCTTTCCAAACCGATTCGGGGAACACATGGTCCGATAGCTTGGCAGATCTGGCCTAAACGTTCGGCCACATAGGCGCTTCCAAAACGGCAGGGGACGGCGGTGATTCGCCGTAGGCGTCTTCGATTCGCCGCCCCCTGTGGTCTTGCCACAGGGGTGCCCAGCGTGCTAGATCCTAATCGGTTTGGCCTGGGTTCTTTTTCCAGAAGAACTCTCCCTGGGGCTTCGGCCCGTCCCGCCAGCCACCCGAAAGGCCCGGAATTCTCAGAGAAATTGTGCCAAGACGGCTCAAGATGGGTTTCAAGACCGCCAAGATGGCCCAAGATGGCCTCCAAGATGTCACCAGCCCAGAGAGGAAGACGGCTCCCGACGGCGTCCGACGGGCCAGGATGCCACCAAGACGGACCAAGATGGCGCCAAGATGCCTCCAAGACGGCCCACGAGGCCCCCAAGAGGCCTCCAAGACGGCCGAAGATGCCTCCAAGAGGTCCTCCAGGAAGGCCCGAAGAGGCCAAAATCAATGATTTGCCTCAGATTTTAAAGGATTTCGGAATTTGCTTCTCTTCGGCCTTCCAACGGCCCGAGACGGCCCACGAGACCCCAAAGATCGCCCAAAGATCGCCCAAGAGGCCTTCCAAGATGGCCCCAGAACGACCTAAGAGGCCTCCAAGACGGCCCCAAGAGTGCTCCAAGACGGCCCAAGAAGCCTCGAAGACGCCCAAGACGGCCCCCAAGACTGCCCTGGAGCACCCCAAGAGGGCCCCAAGTCGGCTCAGAAAGGCCCTCAAGACGGCTTCCGACGGCAACCGACGGGCCAGGAGGCCGCCAAGACGGCCCAAGATGGCTCCAAGATGGCTCAACACGGCCCTAGAGGCCCCCAAGATGTCTCCAAGACTGCCCAAGAGGCCTCCAAGAGGGCCTCCAGGAAGGCCCGACGAGGCCAACATTATTGGATTTCCCTGCGGTTGTTGAAGGATTTGGGGATTAGCTTCTTTTCGACCTTCCGACGGCCCGAGACGGCCCACGAGCCCCCAAAGGTCGCCCCAAGATCGCCCAAGAGGCCTTCCAAGAGGGCCCCAGAACGGCCCAAGCGGCCCCGAAGAGGTCCCCAAGAGGGCCCCAAGACGGCCCAAGAGGCCTCGAAGACGCCCAAGGTGGCCTCCAAGATGACCCTGGAGCACCCCATGAGGGCCCCAAGTCGGCCCAAAGCGGCCCCCAAGACGGCTTCCGACGGCGTCAGACGGGCAAGGAATGCCCTAAAACGGCCAAGGAGGCCCCCGAGAAGCCCCCAAAGGCCACCAAGAGGCCCAAGAGGCCCCCAAGATACCTCCAAAAGGCTCCCAGGAAGCTCCAAGGAGGCCCCAAGAGTCCCCCCAGAGGCTCCCAAGATATCCCCTCCTTCTCCTCCTCCGTCCTCCTCCTCCTCCGTCCTCTCCTCCTCTCCTCCTCCTCCTCCTCCTCCTCCTCCTCCTCCTCCTCCTCCTCCTCCTCCTCCTCCTCCTCCTCCTCCTCCTCCTCCTCTCCTCCTCCTCATCCTCCCCCTCCTCTTCCTCATCCTCCTCCTCCCTCCTCCTCCTCCTCCTCCTCCTCCTCCTCCTCCTCCTCCTCCTCCTCGTCCTCAAAACCAGCATTCACACAGATGGGGGGCGGATCATTTTGAAATGTCGCTCTCTCCGCGCAGCCGCGCACATCCGTAATAAAGGCTCCCAGCAGACACCAGGAGTGACAGCGGGTCGTCTTCGAAATGTGGCGCTCGCCCTAGCGCCGCGCACCCGAATATTCAAATCCAACAACTACACGAATGGGCGGCTTCTCCTTTCAACGTGTGGCCTTCGCCTCAGAGTTCCCCACAGATTACGACGATGAACGGACCAGTGTGCAGCAGGTAAACGGATGGTGGGGGACATGCTTGTTTCGGGGCTCTCGCCTCAGACCTCCAGGACACGAGCTTGCCGGATGTCGAAGCTCTACCGCGGTCGCACGGATGGAGGGTGGCTCATGTTCAAAGCGGGGCCTCTCGCTGGACTCATCCTTGAACGACGCCTTCGCTGTAGAGCGCATGATGACGGTCAGTTTCTGTTCGAAGACTGGACAATCGCCCGAGGGGAAAATTGGCGGCGCTCGCATCTCGAAGGGGCGCTTGCCACAGAGACAAGACGCGCTTGTGGGGACTTGTGACGAAGGGACTCGTGATAGGAGAGTGTTATGCGGAATTGCGGATGCATCGTGGGTTTAACCCCCGTTCCTCTTCCTCCTCCGTCTCGTCCTCCCTCCTCCTCCTCCTCCTCCTCCTCCTCCTCCTCCTCCTCCTCCTGCTCCTCCTCCTCCAGCGGCAGGAAAGTTCATGCGCCACCAGTCCTGCGCCCCTACCAGGCGGGGTAATTCGCAGTGCTCCAGTACGCGTCGTGTCGCACACGTCTCGCGCACGCTGGCGGGGCCGCGCGGGCGACCGCGGACCCTCTAGCTACGCAACACAGGTCGGAGCGTCCGCTGCCTTGGCCGCAACAGGGCTGAAGCCAAAGAAAACGTTGGGCAGGGCTGGAGGCCTCGCCGACTGGCGCTGCAGCGACACGAGAAGGCCCTGGAACCCGAACCCGGCACCCGCGCGCGATGTCGCCCTGCACGCGCCCTGCATCTGGCCCGAGCCTGCCTGCACAGATCAGCCGCCTGCGCTGCAGCCCCGCCCTTGGCAGGGTGCCGCGTGCGAGCCAACAAGATCGCCTTCCTGAGGCCAGCCGACCCTCGGCCGGCTGCCCGTCGGTCCCCGCCAGTCGCGTGGGAACCGGCGGACCGCAGGACAGGCACGAGGGCCCCCGCCAAGTGCCGGGTCGCCCCGCGGGCTGCCCGGAGGCCGCACGAACCAGGAAGACCCTGCCTGGCTCGCGGAGGTACCCAGCCTGCCAAGCAGAGGCACAACCTCGGCACCGGCGTCCTCCGCACAAGCAGCACAGGAAGCGTGGAAGCCTCAGAAAAGCGCGGGCGTCCTCCGCACAAGCAGGACAGGAAGCGTGAAAGACACAGAAAAGCGCGCTCCCACACGCATGGTCCTGCCGCCCCGATCACTGGTAATGCAAACCAATGCTGTCCGGCGGGGGGCGTCCTAATGGGGACTTCTCTGGAGCCCTCTCTGGCCTCGTGCACGCGGCAGTCCTCGTCGTCGCTCAGCTCACGTCGGCGC